GAATATTTGTTTAAAAAAAAAAAAAATAATAATAATAACTTAATTAAAGAACTTGACTTGCAATTTAAAAGAGGTAATAAATTGAAAAACTCAAGCTACTAATATATATACATATATATACAGTATAAAGGAGTCAATGTCTATATTAGTCCCATTTCTTCACGGAATATGGTATGAAGCTGTCACTGAAACGTTTCGTTTTACACTTTATTAGCGGAAGTCGTCGAGATTCTCTCGTGTTGTATTTTTTTCTGCCTTGGTGTTGGAAGGAGGTCGGCCACTTTACTGTTTTCATGATTATTTTATAGGTAGAAATCTTTGCACAATATTTCGCGCCTTTCGGATAACAGTATTAAGTCTATTAACAGTATTAAGTATTAAGTTCTTTTAGTCTCTCTTGGTAGGGTAGCTGAGGGTAGATGATCTTCGTAGCACGCCGTTGAATCTGCTCAAGTTGGTCACTGAGGTAGTTGGGAAGAGATGAGTGCCACAGCGGACATGCATATTTTAATAGAGGACGAACAAAGTAACAAAAGACAGAGCAGAGGTCTTTGGGCATAACGCCGCAGCGTTTTAGAGTTCTAATGGCGTAGAGACGTTTGCTCGCTTTTGCGCATACATGGTCAATGATCGTTGTCCATTTCAGGTCAGATGATATGTGAACCCCTAGAAGTTTTGTACTTTGAACAGACTCAAGTTTCTGACTATTGATAGTAAGTGGAGGCAAACCAGGTTGCTTTCTCATAAACGATATTGTAAGTTCATTGGTTTTCTTGACGTTGAGTTTCATATTGTTGTTACGAGTCCACATGTTGATGTGGTCGATCGCACTCTGTGGGGTAGTAGAGTGTAAGTCTGTGGCTGATAAAACTTCAAAAACGGTGCAGTCGTCGACATACTTATACAGTGGTAGCTCAGTAGAGAGGTCGTTTACCATTATCAGAAAGAAAAGCGGTCCAAATTTTGTACCCTGAGGAACTCCAGCGTTGATTGTCGTCCAATTTGATGTTGATGACCCAAGTTTAACACGATGATGACGATTTTCAAGAAAGCTAGTGGTGGAACACCAAGAACCTGCAGCTTAGTCATAAGGATGTTGTGGTCAATTCGATCGAATGCTTTGGAGAAGTCGATTAAGAATGAGCGAATGAAGGTTTTAGGAGTGTCGGTGGAGGACCACCATTTGTGGAGAAGATGGACCAACGGATGTGTCGTTGAGGTTTTCTTAACGCAGCCAAACTGAAAAGGATCGATGTGCGGTAGAAATATGGTAGCTAGCCAGTCAAATACGAAGCCCTCTAGGACTTTACTAAGTACAGGTGTAAGTGAGATTGGTCGTAGATCGTTGTCGATTGAACGCGGCTGTGAAACTTTATTAAGAGGGATGACGTTGGCACACTTCCAAAGACGTGGTACGATACCCTGTCTAATTGAAGAGTTGAAAATTGCACATACAGGACGAGACAAGACTAGTGCTAAGGACTTTAGAACAGTGTTTGTTGTAATATGCTCTTCGTGTTATATTTCATCCAGCATTAAAATAAATTAAGCTTATCTATAGAAATATTAAAAGTTTTGAGAGAAAGTCTTTGATTTGTCGATTCGTCGAAAAGAATGCTTGTCAAAAAAAAACACAAAAAAAAACAAAAAAAAAAAACGCATTGTTAATGTTTGCTAAAAAAACACACCTAAATTCTTGAAGAACACTTCTTCATCTATCTTTGACTACATGGAAGTTGTTTTTATTTGCTGTTGGTCTATAATTTGTCCTAAAGCTATTTTTTCTGTGCATTTGAGAGCCGCATTTGCGAGTAGTTTTGCTTTGACATCAAGTGAGATTCAGGCCTACCCCGGGTCCTTAAGTCGCCGTAATTTAAAGCAACTTAAGGCGACTTAAGAAAATATGATGGAATTTTGGGTATTTTTAGGGCGATTTAAAGCAACTAAGGTGATTTAAGAGGGCAAAGCTAGTTTCTTGTAAATAAATAAATTTTAAAATGATTCATCTAATTAAAGGTAAACCRAGGACTGTCTTATTCATACTACTTATGGTATCTAACAGGTGCCAGCATAAAATCAGAAATGCCAACTATGCAAACTGTGATTGATCAATAGAAAGACCTGTCTCAATAGCCTTGGTTCCCTAGTTTGCATTGGCATTTTTGATTTTATACTGGCACCTGTTAGATACCATAAATGGTATGAATAAGGACCATGTTAAAACACCCTAGCATGCTCGCACTAAACCCATGAACATAAATTAGTACAAAATATTGCTAAGTTACGTTATTTTGTATTTGTTTTGTCTGTGTAGTTATTAGTGCTGTCAGTACTAATTAGCAACAATTAATTCTCTCATGAGTTTAGTGCAAGTACTCAAGCAGCTAACATTTCTCACTATGATAACCAGTGTTTATCATAGCAAAAACAATATAGTGGCTTAACCTGTAGAAGCAGTCATATGATAGTTGTGAAAATGTTCTATCATTTCTGTTTCTAACTCTTAATAGACTCTTTGCCCCGATTCCCAAAACATTTCAAGCTGTATTTTCTCATGTGAAAAAAAACCCCTATTATTTTGTCCTCCAGTTCAATTCCTCTTGGGAATCAGTGCAAAGGGTCTATACCAACATAACAACACTGGAGTAAGAAAGACTTTGTAACCCACAACTTTAATATCTAACACTACTAGTTTCATTCCATTGTTTTCTATTGATTGTGTTCAGGTCAAATGACATCATTATGACAACACAAGCAAAATCTTTTCTAGTTTAGAAAAATACCAATTATTGTTTGTTTGTTATTTTGTACATGAAATATTCGTGCCTTCAATTAACCGATGTATCAACTGTTTTAGCAACAAGATAAAATGGTCAAAATGTTTTTTGGTCGTTCTCCAAAAGTATTGCATTTCTAATATAGAGGCTTGGTGGGAAGTTTTCTGAAACATTGAAGTTACCAAATCGTGCAAAATCTCTGCGGGTGCAATCATCTTTAGTCCTTGGATAGTCAAATTATAAGGCCTAAAATTCAAAATGTCCTAAATTCAACCATATCAAAGCTTCGAAAATTAGCACCAAAAAGATGCCAATAAGCTAAACAAGCATTAGGGGTTGAAGGGTAATACCTAAATAACAAAATTCTAGCAAAAAAAAAAAAAATGTTCTAGTCTGCAAACACGGTAAAAAAAAAAGTTATTCAAAGTAATGCACTAGTCAGTTGTTTCCACCACCCCCCACCCCCGCGGTATGTGGGGATTTTGTCGGGCAATATAGGGAGAATTACCGTAGCTTTGAGCAAATTCCGTTCTCTACCCCCCGGGGGATTTTTTGGAAATACCAATCGCCTTCCCCGTACCTCACGTGGAAATTGAAGTTGGGAGTCTGGAACCGAGTTTCTGCTTTCAAGATGGCGGACATGGATGACCACCACGARGTCCACGAGGTAATGATATATTTGCATGTTTTTYGTTATTTAAATGTACTTTTCTTCATACTGATTGGATATTTCGTATTAGATTCTTAACTTCCAATTAAATGCGCTGTTTTTTATTGATTTTTCCAGAATCTGCTAAGATTTTGGAAAAACTTTTTCGCCAAATGTGCCGTACAAGAGGCTGAAGATTATGCAGAAAAGTTCGCTCGTGAAAGGTCTGTATGAAAGCTTATTTTAACCCAATATTCATTGTATTTTATAAGAATTAAACTTTCTTTTATAATAATACTCAATAATGTGTCGTATGATATATTTCTTTTAGAATGCAAAAAGAGATGGTTCGTGATTTGAACAGAGAAATTCTCAAAGAAATCGGTATTTCTACAGTAGGCGACTCAGTTGCGAWTTWAAAGTATGCAAAAGAGGTATGTACACATAGAATATAATTTAAGAGCGTAAAGACAGAAAATTTTCTATTTATTGTCTCATTATGGTTCCAGTCAAATTTGGAAATATTATCAATTATTTATTTATTGTTAATAGATATATCAATATTATAGCAACAACAAATAATAATGAAGATGATAATTTATGAACATAAGCTTAATTAACATTCTTTCCCAAACTTCAGATATCTTCATCTGTTGACTTTGCTGAAGAAAGTAAAAAAGGTATGATTGCAAAGGCAAAAAATATCAAGGTGATAATTAATTTTTGGGACAAGTTTTGTTGTAATCATGCTACCACATGTACAGTATAGCACCATCATAGCCACATGGATGTGATATCATATAATTTTGCATTGCTAAACACTTTTTAAAATCATGAAATATTTATTTTTGAAAAGGTAGAAAACATAAACTCTTCAGTCAAAAGCATTTCTCTGTCAAAAACCAAGCAAGCAACTCTAGTTGTTGGGAAGTGTGGTGTTTTAAAAGTTGGACCTGAACTTGAAGTAAGTTCCCAGTCTAGAAATATAAATGTATCTGTTGTTGTTGTTGTTGTTGCTGCTGTGGTGCTTATTTTGTTTTCCTTTTTTTGTTTTTAACAAATCCAGTCACTGCAAACTGCCACCTCAAAAAAAAAAACAGTGATGCAGCATGAATGGATCAAACTGAAAGCATCTGATGACTCTTTATGAAAAATATATCTTGGATAGCTAGATTACTTTGTTAATTCCCATTAATTTTTGTTCCAGGTATAGATATTGAAGATCTCTCACAGAAAGTACTGTTGCCAGTGCAGGAAGTAAAATGGCACCTTGACCACTATGGGAATATCAGAGAAAAGCGTAAGGCAAAGACTGCAGCAAAGAAATCAAGTCAAATGAATGACTGCTTAGGTATTTTTTTACCATAGTTTGCAAGTCATAGTTAAAAAGCATGTTTTTTTAGCATTTCTTGATATTATTTTTGTAATTTTTAGATAACAATATTGGTATGAGCTGTATTGTATGTAAAGGTATGGCATCTGTATGTTGTTCAGCTGACCCTGAACAATGTACAGATGCTTATTGCCTAGGATGTCTTGATTTGAAATACCCCCCACCCATGGAATGGGTTTGTCCAATGTGCCAAGGTAAGCTGAAACTGTTAATTAATTTGGTAAAGCTATCACTAGATCTTAGAATATACTTAAATGCCTTGAATTAATCTATTATTAAATTCAGAGGATGCAGATGTATACTGTGTATGCTCTCAAGGAGAATATGGCCTTATGGTTGGATGCGATGGTCCTAAGTGTGTGGCACAATGGTTCCATCTTCAGTGTGTTGGATTGACAGAGGAACCCAAGACAGAGCAATGGTTTTGTCCATTGTGCTCTCAAGTCTAATGTTTGATGAAATTAAAGTTGATATTCCAAACTAATRTCAAGTTCTTTTATTTTCTCTCTCTCCCTCTTTTCTCAACTTCTGAAAGAATGAGTGATAGCAAATCAATAACCATAAGTAATCATTATCGTGACCTCTGAGGGTAGGGGATTTGCATTTTATTTCTGCCCTGG